TTGTCCAGTTTGATTAACCTGAATTCTGAATCTAACAAACATTAATGAATGTGTAATTTTTCAATTTACAACCATAAAAAGTGGAAAATCCCTGAACATGTATGCTACAATGAGCAATCGCAGAGAACAAAACGTTACAAAACATTCACAGAAGTCCAAAACACACAAGTAAGATAACAACTCATCAAATTTATTTCTTATTAACTTTAACCAAAAATGGCACTAGGTCATGACCAAAAATGGCACTAGTTTTTATTAGCAATTATTTCACTTTGTTCAAGCGATATTATACTTGTGCATACAGAAAAAAAAAGTACTCTTTTGAAGAGAGTTAGGATAAAAATAATTCAGTTTTATAAGCCAGTGTAGAAACTACTTTATTTAAAACAAAATATAAAGTCGAAAAGTTTACAATACAGAAGTTATTCAAATTGTTTAGCTAATTTCGTAGAAATAATAATGCAGGCGTATATCTAAATTACTATGCTCGGAAATTGTTATATGCCTAATGAAATTTTATTTTCACTTTAATATTTATATTTTTTTGCAGTCAATGCAGTTGTTCGGTGTTGACGTAGGAGAACTATATCCCCAAGATACAAGAAATCTGACTCTGCTGTATCCGAATTTGGTAAGAAGTTTATTTCCTGGCATAAAAAGAGCGTGAGTGCGAATGTGAGCAAAAATTACATGCCTTGGACTTATTTTCAAATTGCTAGCTCATATTTGTTTAGAAAGCAGCAGACGCTATTTATATATATCCCCGAAAACTTAATATTGGAATATGATAACGAGTTATTAAAAGAAAAATAAAATGTATGAAGTAGCCAATGTTCCAGATTAGTTTTCCTGGGAAGGCAATTGTTAATATTAGGAAGTAACTGAATTACTCTTTAAATGAAATTCAAGTCATATGTTATTAACTGTTTGCATTAAATTTCATGAAGCAAATTTTAAACTTGTGCATGGGAAGCTCGAAACTGGTAGTAAAAATTGTGAGCATTAGCATCTTTTGCTTTTTAAGTTTTTCTTAAGTTAAAGTTTTGCTTTCTAAAATTGTGAGCATTAGCATCTTTTGCTTTTTAAAGTGCTCAAGTCTGGCAGCTTGATGGGATGAATTAAAGATTAGCCTTTTTGATTGGAAAGTTAGATTAATGTCAAACTCCACAGTATAATAGTTTAAACTATTAATTATCAAATTTTAGAATTATCTTTTTATGAAAAATGTGTAGGAGGTATCATTAAGTTTTGAAATTAATTACCGAAGTATTAAACTTAACTAGCATATCTCAATCATGAAGTATTTCAATGTACAGTAATGCAATTAATATACATATTCATTTATTGGTAGTGAACTTAATATTATATTGTAAAAGGTGCATGGCGTTCAGTCTAAACTAATACTTTCAACTTCATAATTAAAAATATCTCAAAATCTGGATTTCAAAGACAAAAAAAAAAAAAGCATTACATTTATTAAACGTTTTTACTTTAATTAACATCTTTAACAAATGATTTCCCTCTAATTATTAGAATTATTGACAACAATTGAATCGTTTCAACTTTTCAGTGCAAATCTTAAAATTTTCCTTTGATAATATTGGGGCATGTCCTGCAAAATTTTGTAAATTATTGTTGGGGAATAATTGTTTATGCTAAACGTAATGCACACACAAACAGAATTATCCAAACATTGAAAAAAAGTGCCATCGTGAGGCTTTCCTCAATTCTCATGTTTACAAAAATGATCATATACTTTGCTTCCCTGGGAATTGAAACAATAGCTAAGTTTGTAGGTTTATATAAAGTTATTTTATTATGAGTTGGATCTATACTTTCATTTCTTCTTATTATTAACTGTCACCAGGATAAAATGAGAAACTTAAGGCGAAGTTCTTGAAAGTTTTAGAGATAGAGCATTGTCAACGACGCCAGGTGTACTTTTTCTCGTCTAGCTCTGCTAAGTTAATATTTCGGCATTAGCCATTTTACTAGCCGAGGTTAGATCGCACAATTAACCGGTACTTAGGTTATTTATATTAGTTTCCTGCTACGAATCTACTTTAATCATTTGTTTAATCTACTTTGTAGTTTAATTTGTACGCATAATTTATGCATTTTGTAAAGTGCCGACTTTAAATAAAAGGGTTATTTAAACCTTTTTAAGATTTACATTACTTTTACAGATTAAGGAATAATTCGCTTGTAGTAGAGTAAGGACTTTGATCTAAATTTACAAAAGATACAAGTTGCCAATAATGAGTAGATTTGTTTCCTTGGCTATTTACTTATCTGAACTCTTGATTAATCACAAAAACAGTTTTTCTTTCAAACATAATTTTTTTTTATTTAAAAAACTCATCTTTTTAACTTTTTTAACAGATATATAATGTTCTTGTTAATTTCTTGTTTTTATTAATATACCGCTGATAAATAATTTGATGCTATTTCATATATGTCTTAGAAGTTTCTTTTTTGTTTTCTTGTTTTTTCAAACCTTTTTTTAGTATTTGCACAATCGAGTAGGGAGATGCGATATGGAAATTATGGATGCCAAAAATAGGAAGATGACGCGTAAAGTCGAATTCGATACTACTCTCATAAAACTAGGTGGTCTCATTCCTCGACTGTTACAAAGTAAGATTATAAATCAGTTAAAATTATGATTGAAACGTTAGCTGCTTCCCTGTAGTTTTTATAAACTTTTATAACACATTTTAAAAGAACTGTGCTAATAGAAACGGAAGAGAAACATTCCAAGTGAAACATAAAATTAGTAACACAACAAAATTGAGTTTGGCGTAGATTTATGTACAAGATCTCAATCGATTTCGAGGGCGATCAGGTTCAGATCCATCTTCGTCAGAAGCAGAGAAATCTGCAAGGAGATCTTATACACAAATCTACGACAAACTCAAGGTTGTAGTGTTACTAATTTTAACTGAGCGATAAGTAGAGGATAGGAGAAGGGAATCTATCTTGAATAATAATATTGTTGCGTGTGTGCGGGTTCGTTATGAATTGAATGCATAAGTCCGATAAAAAATGAGCAAAATTTATTATTATCGCAACAAATAAAACAAAACTCTTAAATTTCCTCAGGTATTCGTACTGTGTTACAATATCTCACAGTAGTTATCTTTTAACTACTCAGACGTTCAAATAGTGATTAGGGGAGCCTATTGTGGTACCGAGAGCCCGAGTTCGAATCCCGGAGAAGGAAGGGATGTTTGTAAATGTATAGTGTCTTTGCGGCATGGGGGCACTCTATATTTAAAATATTACAGTTAAAAGTGGTCGAGTTGAAAGTCCTCTCGTCTGATTTGGTGGAAGGGGAGAGGGATGGGGAAGCCTCGGACCATCCCCCGGGGTGTTCTACCTCAAAACTGGGGTGAAACTAGAAGTCCAACCTTCTTGAGATTCTGGCAACCATTCTTCTGTGAATTTTATGGACAAGACAACAACAACAACTGAAATAATTAATCTCATTTACTTACTATTAAAGCCGTAGAAGAATTTGCCGCGTTATCCAGAGACACAGGTTTAAGACTTGAGGATCGTTAACCGAATTTTGGCTGGGGATTATATCAGAATTTTCAACTCTTTCTGAATGGCCCTAAATATACTTCTAGCATTTTCTACTACGAGTTTATGCAAAAAGGCATTTTCAGTATTGAGGCTTAATAAAAAAATTAAATGATGAAACCAAAATACTGAAGAAGCTAAAAACATTGAAGCAACCTAGAAATTGCAGTATCATATATCCGCGTACTATTTAAGTCTTTATGCAAAAGTAAACATGCATATCTAGCTCATTAGCATAAATATCTGGATTGGCTTTTATTACGTGCTTAAATTGTAATCTATATATACCAAAGAACTCTTTTCGAATAAACTTTCTTTTAAAACTAGCTTGAATGACGAGTTCCTTTTTGGGTTTTTATTACAATGTTGAAACATTAAATGATTACAACAAAAATAACAATAAAAACTTATTAGACCCTCAACTTGAAATACAAAACTATAACTACGGAATGCAATTTTACTTCCACTTTTTCAGGGAGTAGCAAACACATGAATTGCTAATTACTTACAAGCTGAATTCTAGCCTAGTACCTGCATCGGCTGCATTTCACAAAATAATTATCTAACTTTCAACATCAAAGGATAAAATCACAAAAATCTAGAAATATTGCTCATCACGTATACAACCATGGCAGTTTTTACAGCCTGCGAAGTTGCCAATTTTTCGTTTCTTCATTTGCATTCTTACTCTATTTAAAACTTTTTTCATTAACATATTCTAGTGCAGTAAACGAAACGATAGAAGTAAGGACAGATTTTAATTTAGGAAAAAGCTTGTTAATTAGAACTAATCTTAGATATTTATCATCATTAAGCGTTAAAATTCAAGTTCATGTACTTCCATACTAAGAGACGCAAAAATATTTGCTCTAGTAAAAGGGTTCGGAGAAGTACTGCTTTACAGATGTACGATTGCACGAACAACGGACTGATTTCGATAAGAAACGTAAATCAATTTAAACAAGATGAAAAAAATTCAATCTCAATTTATTATTGAAATCAAATAAAAAATTTCACAACATTTCGGGAGAAAAACGTCGGTATTTCTCAAAATGTTAAAAAAAAAAAAAAAAAAAAAAAAAAAAAAAAAAAAAAAAAAACCTTTATTTCTTAAATTTCTTAAAGTAAATGGTGAACTTTTAAGAAAAAAACTGCAACTGAGACAAAAGATATTAATACAAAACTCATTTGCAGCAAAAATAAAATATCGGGCTCAACAATAAACAGAAATTCATTCTGATGGTGAAAACATACCAGTGCTTACAAACCAACAAACTAATGTTCTTCAACTGAATTCAGTATGGTGCATAATAGGCACTTCTACGTGAAAAAATGTGTATGAAAATTTAACTGTGTTGCTTAGAAATGCATATTAAAAAATTGTCTTTCAGATTATTACAATCCTCGTGAAATGATTGATTGCAAAAGTACAGATGAAGATCCTTTAAATGCATGCCAACCATACCCTTGCCTTGTCAGGTATGATGGAACCAGAAATATGTACAATCATACCACTAAGCGATGTGAACAGATTCCGAAATGCATTCCAGAAACTGAAAAAGACCTTATTGATGAGGTGAGTTATCAAAACTCTCTTTTTTTAGCAGTAGAAAAACCAAAATTTTACTAACATTAATGCTTGTGAAATCCTTCCTTCCTTGAAAGAAAATGTTTCAATAAATTTGAATGAAAATAATCCCTAATTAAAAATAATTTCGTATTTGTTTTATTTCGAATAAAAATAAGCCATTAAAATATTAAAACTACATAATAGTTGCATTTACTAGTTTTAAACATTCTAACGCAAAATGGCATTTCAAAGGAATATTAAAATCTTGCAAAGAGAGCATGTTTAACTAGTTACTTTCCTTCCTTCTCTTCAATTTCTGGTGAAATATACATTTCTTCCTCTCCGATGTTTTTTGTTATTTGTATTTTTCATTTAAATATTATATCTCATAATTTTTCTAACTGTTTTCCATAATAGTATATGTTTGAAAACATTTTCTCCAATAAAAAATGCCTATTCATATTTTGGACTATTTCCAATATAGATACAGCCTTGCATATTCAACTAGACATTCTAGATCAAAAATTAATTCGCGTATAAAAGCGACAGTAGTCATTGCTTTCGTATAGATGCTAGTAAAACACGTCAAACTCTAGAACTCCTTCTCCTTCAAGTAAAACACTTTGCAGTCTTTCTTTCTTACTTTTTTTTTTTTTTTTTTAAAAGCAGGATACCTGAAAAATGTGCAATGCCGGGACTCGAATATGCGCCAGGTTAGCTACCGTTACACCACGATAGCACTGGAGATGAGGGGACATTATTGTGCACTATCTTTTAGCTCGGGCATCACTGCAGTGTTATTAGGTTTTTTTTCAATACGAGAAACCTGAAAATGTTCAATGCCCTCGCTTGGGACTGGAACCTGGACTTCTCGAATATGAATCGAGTGTGTGACCGTTGCACCACGAAGATACCTCATAGCTTGATAAAAAAGCCTGCAGATTAACTTGTACGAAATTGCAAAAATTTTTATTTGATACAAAAATAAGCATTATATTTAGTTAAGAGAAGCAAATTGATTTTATGATTCCTTGCTAATCTGCACTTCAGCAAAAGCTTTGTAGAATTCGGTATCCTTCACTATTCCTTTTGAAATTCTTACTAATATGCATTATTAAATATTTCTCATTATAGTTTTTTTCTCAAAATTGAATAAAAATGCAGAACAGACTTATATATTTCAGCGATAACTCCAATTTTGACTTCTGGTTTTCCTGTGTATGCAACTGCGTCAAAAATTGCATAAAAAAATCCAGGAGTAAATCGTTGCATATTATGGCATGCTCACAATAGGATATGATCAATGCAGATTTATACAAGTAATTTGAGATGGATTCTGTGTGGAGCTCTATGCGACAAATCATAACTTCTATGGATAGACATGAGAAATTTTAGATTCCAAGAAACTGAGTATGATTTTACAATTAGATGCTTCAAACATCTTTGCATCTATATTTAAACAGATGAACTCTATTTTCATCTCTTAAGTATCACACATATCATAGTGTTAAGTAACAAAAATCATAAACTTTTCACAGGTCTCGTCTGTATTCGGGCAGACATCAACTTTGTCCTTTCTAGGTTCTTCAAAAATATAAAGTTCAAAGAAACAAATACAAGCCGTTAAACGTTATGATTTGATTAAGATAATCTACTAAATTCCAGTGCCTTATAAGTTACATGTTATACTAGAAAGCCCGGCGGTCATACGAAATGGCCGCTGTTTTAGATATTATAAATTACAATTAAAATGATTTGTGCAAAGGTTTCTACTAATTCAAACTGAATTCCCAGGACATGCGGCGAGGACGCCCCTTTGCTTATTGCCCCACAGGGTTGCTCCATTCTACTTCTTGCTTAATTGCTTAAAGTAGAGTGCAATGAAGGAAAACACTGGCGCTACATTTCTTAAGAGTCACCGCTAGCTCAATAAATAAAGATGATTCAAATAATAAAATGTTAATTCACATGTCAAAGCTCTCTCTCTACACAACATTTCTTGGGTAGATCTTTCCGTCATTTTTAAGCTCGCCTTGCAGAGGACCATCCATTATTAATTTTTACGTCCGTCTTTCAGAACTCTTGAACAGGGAAAACATAAAGTGCAATGTCCAATGCAGGCCGCAGTTAAAAAAATGACAAACACGCTTCAGCGTTTGGCCTGAGACTTATGATGCTTAGCAGAGGCAAGTTTTAAAGGAAATTGTCTACGTCTGAAATGAAATGGCAACCCTGTGCCAGGTTTGGCAACTTCCCCCCCATTGGCTAGTACAGTTACGCAAGCACCAATAAACTATCGGCGACAAACAGACACTTAAGCCCATTCTAAAAGATATTTGTTTATTTCATTTTGTTTTTCTTTCATCGTGGCCGTTTTTCTGGTTGCAATATTTCGAATCTATTATACCGAGATGTTAAATTATTATTACAGTTAATGCACCTGCTCTTGTATTTTTAATTTTTCCGGCTTAGCTTTCTCATAATATTCGTCACGCGCTGCGCTGCACGGGGAATAAAACAATTTATAGTTACGCAAGTAACCAATAAACTATCGGCGACAAACACTTAAGCCGCATATATAATGCTTATATTGATTGTTCTGAGAGATACATTAAATAAGTGCTTTGAATAACATTAATTGCTAAGTAGTATGCGAGTAGATAGAACAAAGCAGCTTTCAGAAATTAATTCTAACTGATTATGATACGTTCTATAATTTATGTAACAAGGATGCACATTTTATGCAGTACAAGTGAGCTGGTGTCAGTAAAATCTCTAATTTAATTCTTGAAGAAATATCGGCAATCAAATCATCACCTGCTGTCTACCGGCAAGATGAGGGCTAAGGTGTATCTAAACATTCACACAAGCTTATTGCTTCTCTTCTTAATCCTTTCCCCTTTCCTCAGCCGTTAAAGGCCTTTCAGGATGGTCATCGCAGTAAACACGGCAGTTATCTTTCTCTTTCTTTTCTCCTGGCCTTCTTTTCCGTGCTCGGGAGCTTCCTAAGATGCTGCTGCAGCCGTAATCTCTCCCAATTACGCCCACGTACAAGGCCAGCCCATTAGCTTGCCGCAGTTGCGTCTTCATCTTCAAAGCTCCCGGAATAAGACATCAGCGAGGGATGGCCAGCAAATGGCCGCTTGTTGTTTTATGGGCGAAATGCTGAAATCATTTGGCTGGTGCTTTATCGGTAGAAGTTTTTGCTGAGAAATGGGAATTGTTGAGAAATCCGTTTCTGTGCAATTAGTTTTATCAGATTTCCAAAGGCCAAAAGTTATTTTTTTTTCATTTATCTTATTTATGTTCATAACAGTGGCAATAATTTTAGCTTTTCAATCTTTTTGTGAAAATTATGTTTTCAGCTACTGAGGTTTGTTGCGCTATTTAAAATCTGTTTCCGTTACCTCAGTGAAATTTTAATTCAACTTAATAATTTAGATTTTGACATTTAAGCACAGAGAATGTAATTTTAGCGCATGAATTACATTTAAATGAAAATCTAAGTGCAATGCAAGAACGTACAGTTGTGAAATGTTACACTGAATCATTCACAAATCTCACGCCCACAAACATTTGATGAAAAAATTTTACAATTTCATTAGAAGTAAAGACATTATTTTTTTTCCAAAAAATGAATTTCACAAATTTTATCATAAATAAATTGACAAGGGTATCTATAAAAAAAATTCCGCGGGAAAGGGCAAAGGTTAAAGAAAAATACTTATATCATACTTATACAATAAATATATATTTATCATACTTATAAAAATACTTATACATTTTTGTTTAGTTATTTAATATAGCAAAAGTCACAAATTTATCAGTACAAACACACTTATACACACATATACATATATAATTAAGCAATTAAATCAAAACTTCCCAAGATAATTTCCTAAATAGTATTAAAAATTATGTAATACTATTATGAGAAACATAATTAGTTCTTAAAGTTTATGGCTAAAAATACTTTTGGTGAGGGTTGAAAAAGAAACACAGGAAAATGAAAATTACTAAATTAAATTAAATAAACAAGCTATGTAGCCAACTTAACGACGTCAGATTTGATTCTTCAACGGAGCTTCATCTAATGTCCTTTTATAAGGTATTTTTCCCGCCTTCTTAGCATGCCTTGGTGGTGTAGGGGTCAGCACGCTCGATGCGTATTCGAGAGGTCCGTGGTTCGAGTCCCGGCGAAGGCATTGCTCATTTTTCGCGTCTTTTGCTTCCCAAAAAATCCTAATGTCTATACACTTTCATTAGTTAATATGAAGGAGTGCTATAAAATCGTTTCTGTGCTTCTTGATAGTAAAAAGAACTATTTTTCTATTATAATTAATGTCCTTTCAAAAATTAAAAAATTTCATCCCTACGTTTTTTAGGAAACCTTATACTTGCAAATATCAAACTGAATAATATTGAAACCAAAAGCTAGAGATTCAAATAGTACACGCAGTGAAAAAGTTCAAAATAACTTATTATAGTAAAAACAAAATTATACATAACTAAGACTATAAAAATAATTACATTCAAGATTAATAATAATAATTTAATATAACTCGATCATTTTTAATAAATAGTGACTAAAATAAAAATTAAATCAATAACGAAACTTTTACGTATCTTTTACGTACCATTTTGTCTTGCGTACGCGCTTAAAAACTTTAAGGAAAAAAAAAGGAGGCTATTTATTCACAAAAATAAATTTATTTATAAGACAAATCACAGGACAATTTTTATATAAAGTATAATTTCATTATTTAAATTAGCTTTATATATTCTAATAACAGCTTTTTCAAAATAAAAAGAAGAGCTGTATGCCAGCATTGTTACAAATAAACTGCCTACTAAACTTGTTCTTTCTTGATCAGTGGAGGTTCGGTTAAACAGATTCTAGTGAATCATGTAAATAAACACAATATCCTAAGTTCTACCTTCACTTATCTTGTCTATTTATATTTATTTAAAACTAAACATTGTTTATAAATCTAAAATTGTTTAAGGTTTTTGCATCTTCCATCTAGCATTAAGTATAAATATGCTCAAGTAAGTTTCTTAGTTGTTTCTGTTTTCTTTTTCCAATATCTTTGGCACTATGCACGCCGAAATATGTAAATATTTTAAAAATATTTTTGAAAGAAAAAAAAAAACAAAATCTGAAAGCTTTTTAGATTTTATATTATGCCCAAAGTGGCATTTTTTTAACTTTTTGTGTGTTACCTTTATTTATTAAATATCATGTCCTTTGCACTTGAACCATAAAATTCATTTCAATAGCAATGTCGCAAAATAATTTTTAAATGAGCCTATCTTTAGAATTTCCGAATACACAATTCCGCGCGCTGGAGATAAAAAGGTTCCCCCCCCCGTAGAATGTTGTCATTGCTCGCTTTGAAATCCTTGAATTTGGTAATAAAAATTCTCTAAAGTTTTACAAAATATGAAATCCATAATAAAACAAATTGCAAATTTCAAATTTGGTCTTCCACATGCGATATTCGTAGGAGGATTACGTCATTCAAAATTGGATAGCTCTTGGTTCCGTTGTTTTTTATCACAGTGCGAGAAACATACATACATTCTGCAGATTGTTCATTATTTAATTTCTTTAAATATAATGCAAGGGTCTAATATTTGGTGGCAACAGTTCGAAAAGTGAAACACCGTTTATAGTGAACCAACGCAAAATGGCAAAGCGAAAGTAATAATCCTTTTGGGCAAATTGCCCCTTTGAACTAGTTAAAAAAATCAAGATTGCGTATTACTGTGCTAGAGTTTATAATTAATTTTAGCTATAAGGATCCTAACGTGCAGCCGTAAATTAAGTATGACGAAATATGAAATTTAAACTTATGTAAATAAGTCTACTCTGTTTTATTTTGATAATTTCTGTAAATTCTTTAACAAAATCTATCAGTCATGTTCTATTAAAATTTTTATTTTTAGTTTGTTGGCTCTCTTGAATTTTTAACTTCGTGCAGAAATTTCCTCAGTGTAAAAAATGTAATTTTTATGTCAGTAAAGAATATGTACACAAAAATGTATTTATATTAACATTACATTAAACTACTAAACCAGTCTCGGTTGTAATCACAGTGAATACTTTAAATGCAATTTCCCTTTAAGCTTTAGCTTTAAAAAATCTAAAAGTTTTAATTTTATTAATTCTAAAGTAAAGTACATTTAACCCTAAATCAGAGGTTAGCCAAATCAGATAGAATTCAATCAGAGATTTAACTCTAAATCAGAGATTAGTTTAGAGAATTGCAATAGCATAGCTCCTTTCTTTAAGCTGTTTAACAAAAAGTACTTTTTTGTCGTTCCCCTGAACCAAATAAAAGTGGGTGGAGGCAGGCTGGTCAAGAGACAAGGCGGCCTCAGGTAGAAAACGTCTCTGTCCAGCGCAGCTAATGCTCTATTTCCGTGCAACCCGAGGGACCACTATCACAGGGACCCGTCATTACGATCCTCATGCTTGCATTGATTTCTCCTACTTATTGCCTGCCCACTAGCCACTACCTCAGCTTCCGTTACTTTCTTTCGCTAGTTTTCTTTTCTTTCCCTCCTTGTTTTATTTTTTCATCCTCATATGGCGGTCAAGCTTTTATTTTGTTGGCAGTTTTTTGAAGGCTTCCTTTTTCCAAGTTCCATAGATAGTTGAGAGCTTTGCTACATGTTTGCTTACTGATCGTAACATCTTAAGGTTGATCTGCAAAATTTCAATTAATACAAATTTTACCCTCCACCCCCAATTTTAATCAATATTTCAAATATATATATATGAAACTTAAAAATCAAATTCCATTTTTCTAGAGTGTAGAATAAGTTAATCTATATGGGATTTTTTTCCTCTCCCCACTAAAATATGGTGAACAGTAGTTTTTCGTCACCAAGATTTGGTGAATGGATCCCCGCCTTCCTAGTCACCCTATAAGTGGGGAAGGATGTAAGGAATTTCTCTCCTTCCTTACCGAGTGCCTTCATAGTGTAACTGGAAACACATTCAATTAGTAAAAATTTTTTTTACAGATTTGTTGCTTCAAAAAACTTACTAAATTCTACAAATGTTTTACTTTTGTTGTTGCTACTTATGCTCACTTGTCTGACGTAGTCAGACCAAGCCCCCGAAATACCTCGTGGCAATCCTGCCGTTGGCAACAGCTTTGAGCATCTTTCAGATGACAGTGTGCTTTAGCTCAGTTCTACCCCCAGTTTTGAAGGGCAGCATCTCGGGGAAGCCCGTCACCCCTCTCCCCTTCCACCAAACCACATGAGAGGACTTTCGGCGCGCCGCACATCTGTAATGCCGCCATGCGGCACAGACACTACATTTACAAACATCCGTGGCTTCTCCGGGATTCGAACCCGGCGGCACTTCATCAAGGCAGTCAGCAATGCTAACCACTATACCGGTTGGAATCCCACGAAAGCACTGAAAGCTCAAAATATTTTTAATGTCTTTATATGCACATCACATTTGAAACTCCAAGATCTAAGTTAATCCTCTTGTGGCGGCCACGGGACGATCGTTGGTTTATTGTTCGAAGCTGTTCTGCGCTTCTGGGTGGCGACATCTATGGATCGAACTAGAAGTGCAATGCGAAAGACTGGCGTTGGTCTTGGAGGATGGAACTTGAGTCCGTTTCATGGGAGTGCAATGTTTTACCTCATCACAAAAGAGCTCGTCGGTAGCAAATTCAAGTAATTCAACTCCTTCGAATTTGTGAGCGACCTTCGATTTGTGTTCGATAGCAGATTCAAGTAATTCAAATCCTTCGAATTCGTATAGCCCTAAGGGCTATACGAATCTCGTGACAATCCACGTTGACGAATCTGGCTAGATGTAAGGCTCCCTCTCCCACACTTCTAAGCATGTGATTTCTGTTACACTATTTGCGTTCCACTTAGATTTCTATGTTTCATTAAAAAGATTTGAATATATTCTGTATTTTTTTCTTAAATTGAGAATGTACTAGAGGAAGGATATCTTCGCTATAATGATAATAATTATTGTGGAATAAAAGTTATGCACAATTTGGTTGGAATTAAGACTATATCGGCCATGTTCTTGCCAGATTCGGGTTTTTTATGGTGTTTATTCTTTAGAAGCCTAAGAAACGTTTATTTTTAAACTTTTGTTTATGATCTCTGTAGCTAAAGTTTATTTGAAAGATAAATTTTCGTTTTCTTCAGGCATACATTATTGAGACAAATAGCTGCAAGACTCTCATCAGGTCGATGACAGAACAGGAATTTACGCAATTTGGTGAAGGAAAGCCAAGTATTCGAGTTCTTTCCCGAGCTCACGGTTATCCACTGGTATGTATAAGCATTTCGAATGAAAATAAGACAGAACTTTTTAAGATGGTTTTTATTATTATTATTATTATTATTTTTATTTTTATTCTTTAGAAAGACCACAAAAATCTTCGTCTATGCTAAATAGCCCTCGTATATTTTGCTTTAAATAATAAATTTAAATTTACTTTTGTTTCACTTTTGGAATCTTAGTAAATCGGAATCTCAACAAATAATTTCGATTTGAATTTGCATCGTGCTATTAATAATTTTAATGCATTATTCTCCAAATGACGCTTCAAATATTCGAACTCAATTATTGATTGTTATTTGCTATACCTACATGTGTGTCCCCTCGGAGGTTGACCTAGGGAACTCTGCGAAGCTACTGGCTAGGATCTGTACCTCGTCTGTCTCGGTCACGGGGGTATACAAATTTAGAACCTAGTGGTTCTGGAGGCCCCGAAAATTTTACTTATTGGCCGGCCCGTGGGCCTGGCACGTCCTATAGCAGATGGCTCTAGTAGACCGGGGGAAGCGTCCCGGGTTTGCTGGGTAGCGTCCCTCTGCGACGGGCAGCCCGAGCGACTGGTTATAGACAACGATCGGTGTCTCAAAAGCGATGCGTCTGCGTCCCTCTCTCAAGGTGCGACGGCAGGGGTTGAAACCCTATGCCTGGTTCTGTGGGGGGAGGACTCATAGTGCCACACTAGGGGAAAAGCCCACGTATTGCTAGTACCTTTATGTGATATTATCAACTTTCTTCAAGATACGTTCTGACTCTTGCTAGCTACACCATACGATGCTGTAGCATTTACATGTAGTCGAAATTTATAAAACATGATATGGGGAATAATAATGCTCCTAACTTATGAATAAAACTTTAAAAATGTTAAATGGGCGGAAAATGTTAAATGTTGAAAAATGGACGGAGTAAGAAAGAAAGCCGCATGGCATCAAGATTATTATAATTTGCAGACTTTTTATTACAGAATTAGTTATGTGTATTTCTGTTTGCTAGAACTTTGGTAGCCTAGAATAATACTAAGTTACTTTCAGGACAGCCAGTTTATTTAAGTGATTCGAGTGATTCCTGCAACTTAATTTAAAGTAGATATCTCAACTACATCTGACTTGCCTAGTTAACAATTAGAATTAATACACATGGCGAGATAGTTACAACTAAAAATATTAATCCATTGTGTATTGCTAAGAGCAGTAAATGGCAAACATGTAATACATAGCTTGCGTGCGCTATTTATTTAAATGAAAACAATTCGTTTCGTCTTAGTGGTTTTAATTTCTGAGAATAGTATAATGGCGCTATTTTAGAGGAATGTAAGGCAAATTATTTTTATTTAATGAGTATAATAATGTCATCTCTAGAATTTTCTTTATTCATCGTAATTAAATATTTTACGTAACTGCGTGTTAAATACTTGTACATCTGTGGAAGTACACTACGTAAATGTTTTAAATACCTGAGGGTACATCTGTGGAAGTACACTACGTAAATGTTTTAAATACGTGGGGTACATCTGTGGATGTACACATTGTAAATAAATTGATAAAACTTAAAACGAAAGAAAATATTTGCGTTATATTTCAATAAGTGATATCAAATTAGCAAGTAAGAAATAAATTTCAAAATCACTGGAACAAATACTGTAATTAAAGAAAATAATTCTTTACCCTTTTCGTAATACAGATTGCCAGCGTAAAATTAACTCCGACAGAAACAAACACATATAGAATTGCTACTTTTGTTTATTTCTCTTAAAGCCTAGATTTATTCAAATTCTCAAAAATTAATAAAACTTACCCTATACGTAAGAAGACTTGTAAGAATTGGAGGCTCCCTTCATCCCACCTGGGCACGAGTGTCCTCATAGCTCAAAAGAAAAGGCCCCGTATTTCCACAAAATGTTTGGGGGTGGCTGGGCTACTGGGCAGCTAGTAGCCCAGCCACCCCCAAACAACAAACAAAAATACTAAATCAAAAATAAGTAAGCACATGTAACACTAAATGACAGACCAACAAACAAACAAAAAAAATCCATAAACACAAATTCACAGCACAGAACACCACAGATACGTAGAGGACCCTATATGTAGAGGAAGAGATGCATAGTACAAAGAATGCTAAGATAATTGCTGAATTTACTTTATTCAGTATTTCGTTGATTGTTTCCTCCTTATACTATCTCTCTTTTTTAAGGGGGGGTAAAAGGAAGTTAAAAGCAGAAAAAAATAGGAAAACATTTCTTAAAACGTTACTCAAACTTTTTTTTTATCATAGTTTACGTACGGGCAATACAAGACGAATATGGTCTCTGAAATTTGTAAATTCGCACATCTATCATCCTGTTGTTTTTTATTCACGCCATTTTTACTATTTTTTTTATCAAATATACTGCTTTATTAAATAACTATTTTTTTATTTAGTAATGAAATTTCCCTGTCGTTTTTTAATCTGTACGTTGCATTCATGGCCATTATCAGATTGAATTCCAAAAGAACGGTCAACCGGATAAAAGCAATTTTCTGTAAACCTGAAAAGAACTCTGCTTTTTGTCAACTTAATAAGCCTGCTTTATCTTATAGGCTTGCAGAGTAAGTTATAATTAGTCCATTCTATCTGCCATTACAAATTCATATGCAGACCAGTAACATAAAAGCAACATTGGGCTTTCATAGTTCACAATTTCTTTCAAATTCATTGTAAAGGTGGCTTTTGGAATGGCCGAAGATTTAACTAAAGTGAAAAAAAATCCTAGATATTTTGTAACAATTTTTCTATTTCATTTTATACTATCAAAAAGTATTTTAAAGTTAACAATCTAAAGAAAGTTTGGATTTTTAAATGCAACCTGGAATCCATCATTTTAAACAACGTTTAAGAATAATAGCTTAAAATTTTCACACTTCTTTTTTTTTTTTATGTCATTTGCCTTATTTACAGAATGTTCGTTGTCACAATGGTCATAGATCAGATACTAATCGGTGGTGTGAATGCAAGCCGGGCTGGGATAGCGCCCCTTTTGATCACAAGAACTTTAATCCAGACCTCCAAGTGTATCATATGTGCACCGTGTGGACGGGTGAGATGACAGCCGAGCAAGCAAGAAACATTACTTTTCGACAGAAACACGAACATGGCATAACACCTATTTTGGTTGTATCCTTTTACGCAAGGTTTATTTCTTTTTTATTACGATAGCGAAAATTATTCTACAGTAATTTATTCCTCTAAAATGACAACTATATATGCTGATGAGTATGAAACAAAAAACATTGGCACGAATGAAAACTATTGCTAGTATAAAGCAGATAATCTTAAAGCGAGATAAAATTATTAGGTACTGTTCTGTTATGGGAACCGGATTCAGAAAGGTATGAAAATATACGCTTATAATGTGTATATGTATATACACATATATATTCGTGCTTACATACATACATATATACATGAACACAACATATCCATAAATATCCCATACATGCATACATTTCTGGATCTGGTCTTGATAACAGAACAGTACCAATTGCTAGTATGTAAACAATGTTTCGATCAAAAATAAATTTTTCAAAAGTACATTTTGGATCAAAAAAAGTAATTTTTCAAAAGTATGTTTTCGACTGAAAAGTAATTTTCTTCTTACATGAGAATGTAGTTCTTTTTACTTTCATAAAATTCCAGCTAATATCAAGAAGCATAGATTTTTCGGTATCCGAAACAATCAGTTCAATCAGAAGTTTCTACAACACTTAGATAACATTCCACGTAAAAAATAATAAAGTATTTTTTGCTTCTTGGAAGAAGTCTTGATAGCGAATGACAAGGAAGCTATTCTGAATAATGACATACGTACCAATCAGTTCAAATGCAACATTCTTATGACTTCTTATAGAGGTCTAAATTTCAAACAGAAAACCGAACAGAAATATCGAAAATCTGACAGATTGACAGTCAGATGATTAGTCTTATCTCTAAGTGCATATAAGCTCTTTGATTGCCTTAAAATGTTATGCAATGACATCTAATATTAGATAGAAGCACAACAACCTTAAGGTCCTTTTGAGGTATTGGGGGACTATTATACAGGTAAGCAAACAGTTTAACGCGTTTCCTCCTCATCGAAAGGGAATAGTGTAACACACCTAATCTAATGCCAGTAGTAGACAGCAGCATATTCCTTACCGTGTATGACGTTTAAAATAAGTAACAGAATTCTGAATCTATTTAGGCCAAAGGGGCGTTACCCAATAGGGCTATTGCTTTTGAAACGGCATTTTGTGTCGTGAAACCGTTTTTCAAATTGTTGCCACCAAACATTACAACCTGCATTATATTTTTAAAAAATTAAATAATGAAGAATCTGCATGAATGTCTTTATGTTTCTCGCATCGTGAAAAAACAATGGTACTTAAAATCATCAATAGTCTCCACCAGAATATAGGCACTTTTAAGCCCGAAGTTAGAATTCCAAATTTGTTTAATTATCTATGTCATATTTTGTAAAACTTTAATGAATTTAAACTGAACGATTTCAAAGCCAGCAGTAGCAACACTGTACGGAATAAAATATTTTTATCTCCAGCGCGCGACTGTCTATCGGAAATTTAAAAGTTATATTGTTTTTAAACATTTTTAACTCATAGGGATGTTGACTTAAATGCTATCGTAATAGTACCGGAAACGTGTATGTGTGTGTAAATTAAAAAAAAGCCTCCCTTTGGGCGTAATTTAAAATCTGAACGATTCCCAGTGAAGTGTTAACTTTTACGACTCTTACTTTATTTACATTATTGACTCTTACTTTATTCTCTTAATGCCCTTAATAATTTTACTTTACTTAAATCTAATTCATAATTAACGTTTAATTTTTCCTCAATACTGTATTTTTAGTGTACTTTATGAAATCCTAATCTCTATTAAATTGGTTCATTTTTTACTTGCACAAATATTTGTTACTTAATAAACTGTATACAAAAAGGCCCTAAAGATGTGTAATCTAAGTAAGACTTTTAATTATTTTCTTCTTTAACACATATTTATGGCCAAGAATAGATTGTTACGAATTTTGCCCATAAATCGATAATTTTAGTGAAATTATATACGTGAAAGTGTTGTATTTTTCTGTATAATGTAACATGAAAATCTAAACGAAACGATGCTCTGCCAAAAAAAAAACAAGAATACAGGAGCATGTCTATTTAACATGGCTATCTTGCTAATATGGTGAGATATCGCCAAGCTGGCAGCCAAATTTCTTAAGAGATCGATATAAGTCGCCAAACTTGGCGACCATTTGGCTACATTTTGGTCCGTTCTTTGTACCACCATAATAAGTATTGTAACTGAATAACTGTAATTGATTTCATGTGCAACTGCAAATACGCTCGTATTATGCCCTCATATGCCTTCCAGTAATTTTGAGAAGTAGAAAGTACCAGGAATATCTCGGCAGCCTGGCGAAAACTATGTTAGATTGGAGAGAGTATCAGTATCCTAGTTGTTCTTGTGAGCTGTTAGTTCAGAGCGATTTCGCAGTATTAATGTATACGTAAAAGCTTCGCCTTTTACATGCGCTCGGCATTGCATTGTGATTAACGTTCTTAATAGTTTAGTGTAAATACTGATTGTATTTTGTGTAACTGTGAACACCTGTAAGCAGCGCAGGATTTACGTATAAGTTATACAAGCTATAGCTTAGGGGCAAGCCCGCTTTCTTGGGGGCCCCCAAAAAACCCTCTAGGTATCCAAAAATTATATTTGGTACTGACATATAATATATGGACTTATAAAGGGCTTACATACCTCAAATAGCTTAGGGCTTTATCAAGTCTAAATCCGGCCCTACCTGTACGAGTATTTCTGTGAAAAGTTCTAGAACTCTGAAATGTTTCTTTTTATATAATAAATTTTATCAACTTATCATGAGACTTGTGTGTATTCAATCTATTACGAACCCGTACGCACGCCACAATGAGCATAAGCTTTGCTGAATATTTTGCATGTCTCACTAGTAATACGTCAGTCCTGTATTTTTCTAATCGAGACAGATCTTAAAAATTCCTGCGACTAAGTAAAACTAAAACACTGAATCGAGGACTGTAAACTTATGCTGTTCAGGGAAATATTGTCGTGATCCTTCATACTAGACTCATACACTACTGGAAGTTTATTACTTGCAATTCCATCTCATTCCGTATTACCTTATGCAAGCTGCATTTCCTGGAATTACATTTTCCTGGAGAATAAGCTTTAAAAAGGTTAGAAATGCTCTGTGTTATGACAAGGTTATAACTCATGGCAATCTCTCCGTCCCAGCACCGTAATAATACAGATAAGATCCCCCGCGTCGAATGAGTGATGTCACCAGAAATTTATTTAATAGTCCAGGCGGACAGAACGCCGCCTAATATGTGAAGGACGCAGCGAGTCAAGACATGAATATGCAAGATTGATGAAAAAAAGGCAGCTCTATTAGTTTTGGGAGTAAAGGCATCCAAGGAAAGGCGATTACTTCGAGTTTTAATAGGACGAAGGAAGAGGAAAATCTGTTCCTTTCCTACCAATGCCCGACAACTAAAGTCTGGATCATTTATCAGTAATTTTTCTTTGTCTTTTTTTTAATCGGCGATAATCTTTATTTTTTATTCTTCTTTCTTTCCCGGTTCTTCGACTCAACCTCTGTTTTAGGCTGAAAAACTAATGTTATAATACTTTAAGTTTTATTAATGTCGGCAGCAAGAGTCCGCAGCCAGTGCCAGAGGGCTTTTCATAATAAATTGCACCTTCTATCTTTTGGATATTTGGAGTAAGAATAATAATAAAAAAATCGGTAAGGAAAAAAGTGCATATCATAAAATAATGAATCATGAGCCTAGTCTGCTAGATTTATTATTCCCAAATCCTATTTGCTGCCGGCCTAGAGTCGTAATAAATTAGTAGGAGGGTAACATTCATTTTTTTTATCCTATTCTAGTTTACTTACTTGTTTACTTTTTTTTTTTAAAATTGCGATTTCCTTTCCCTTTCTCTTCATTCTGGCAAAATGCATTTCTCAGGAAATGAAATGTTTATTTATTAGCCCTATTGGACAAATTGTTCATCAACTGTAACTCCGTTTTCGTTGTTTCGTTTTTCGTTAATTTTTTTTACGTCGTGAACGTGTGTATATTAGTGAATTAAGTAGAAAGAAATGAAAGAAAAAGCCGCGTTAAGAGGTTTAATATTATAGTATGCAGAAAAGATGACAGTGCTGCAGGTGGTTGGTGTGTGAGGCATACATATTTGGGAAGAGAAAATTATGATTAAGGTAAGATCTTAATTCCATAGCAATTACTGCGTGTGATGACAGGTCGTCTCTGTGCTAGTAAATGAGGAAGGAGGATTTTATTTTTCGCTTATATCTTATTCCATTGTTCTCAGATCTTATTTACAATGGCTGATTAATCTAGGAATTGCTACAGGACTGAATGATAAAATGACTTAATTTACGACATTTAGCGAATGAATATCATTAAAGGTTTTTAATATTTCGCCAATGCGCTGATTGGAAATTTCCACTTAAGAGTCCAGGGGATTATATTCCAGTTTTATCAGTGTAAGGTGCTCAGAATGGGAAAAAAGGATTGACAAGAGAACGACTCCCAAAGAATTGACCAGTTAATTTTTTTTTTTTTTTTACAATTGTGTGCCTTGCATTTTGAATTTATTCCTTAATAAATACAAATAACAAGATTGTTTGGGCTGTTCTGTTTTGTGAAGCATTCACATACCAGTTTATTGACCAATGAACGAGATGCAAAATTGTAGAAATAAAAACTCGGTAAAATTTTTGTAAAGCTATTATTGCTAGATATTAAGCTAGATATTGATGAAACAACTGTAAAATGAGAATCAGTAGCAAAATTACAAAGATTATCGCGACATTTTGCACGTTTATTAAACTTTCGGCAAAAACTACTTTATGAACAAGTCACGAATGAAATTTTCATTATTAATGAGTTTTGCATAGTTGGTATCTGTAAACAGGTATTTAAATTTAAATTTACATTTCTCCTGGGATTTCTTTATCTGTACGCATTTAATTACTTTGTATGTAAAAATATTAGAGCTTCGTCAGTCTTAAAATGCCATATTTAAGTAGAAGGTGCTCAAACCCGGAACGGCTGCTTTTGTTTGTTGGAAGAGTCCAAGATTTGTAGGTATGGTATTTGAATGTATGGATGAGGTAGGAGGAGAGGAACAGACGACGCTACATCATTTTCGACTCGTGCTTTATGAGTGCAGCTAGCGTTACGTTAGTTCGAATATAATATTTATTATTCTTACTTTTACTGATCGTTTACTCATTTTTTAATTTTGATTACCTAATTTAAAAAATTCTGTGTTAAATTTAAATAAGATCTGGAAAGAAATAATACTTGGTTCTTTATACAAAATGGAATTAAAACTAAATTGTTCTTTCACAAGCGAATACAATACTCCTTTCGTATAAAGATATGTCTTTTAAAGCTCCATCAAAATATATCGTACTAAAACATAATATTTATTTTGTGTACCAGATTTAAAAAAAGTTAAATAATTATGTTTTGTTGTTATGATATTAGCGGTAAATATTATAAACATAAAAAATTACAGTTACAATTTTCTACAATACCTCAAGTAAATAAAACCTTTACAGTTTCTTATTGTAACTTCATGTAATACTCAGTTACTTTACCGAAATAAGAGTTCTAGTAAATATTAGATTTCGTTGGAATAAACAAGATTATGTAATTTCGCCAAAACGTTATGCTTTAAGAAAATTTTAAATAAGCATACAATGCGTAGTATTTTACATTTCAAAAGGGTATTTCTCTTCGAAATATTTTTTTTCTTCATGAAATGATAAAAATTAATCTGTTCTTAAACAAAATGTTCAATAAAACACAGAGGATAAAAATACGCAGTGAAACTCCTTTCACAGTTTAGGAATAAGCCTGCGAGCATATCTCTAGCGCCTACTAAAAAGCCATTCTGCGATCCATTGCAAGCTATTTCCGATGCAGGACATTCTGGAACCTTTCCTTTCTCTTCCTCTTATCTGAGTAAATTCAACTCGGCCAGCTAGCAAAAGCAGCCGTTCCGGGATTGATGGCGTAGTTATTTAAGTTGACTTTTATGTGGTACTAGGTACTAGATATTTCTCCCGCCTTCTTAGCATGCCTTCGTAGTGTAGTGATCAGTACGCTGGGTAGCTTAGCTATACATACTACTTCGCAAAGCAACTACGTTATTCCTTTTCCTTACTTCTGCGATACAAACATCTCCGCGCTGCTTATGCTTGCTTTTAAATAAATGTAATATTTTAATTGTAGTACTTTTAACTTACGCCAGTACTTTTAACTTTTGATTGTCATCATGGTTGAGGGTGGAGGCATACAGACAAAACTAACAAAAACTGGATACTGACGAATCACCAGTCTTTATTTTCACATATATCAAATTATTTTGGTAAACATTCATCCAATCATAGTTAAATGCGATAATTTTTATGTACACTGGCTTTAAAAGTACGACGTAAGCATCTTAGATATTAAAGCCTCGTCGTTGAATTATTTTCTAAATTTATTGCATTTTTTATGAAATATATGAATTCTTAAGGCATATAATAACAATATTAATATTTTTGAAATAAAATAAAAATGAAATCTAAAACCTTTCAGATTTTATATTACGCCCAAAGGAGCGTTTTCTAATGTTTTGTGTGTTACCATTATTTATTAAATGTCAGGTTCTTCAGGTTCTCTTAAAATTCAACAGCAAAATCACTTCAATATTTAAAAACAGCATGTCTTAAGAATTTTCGATACGCAACGTCGCGCGCAGGCGATAAAAATGTTTCTTTTGTTAGAGTGTTGCCCTTTCTCGATTTGAAATTGTTGAGTTTGTAGGGACATTAGGTAGTTTTGGAAGCAAGGCAAGATGAAAAATAGCAAACACTTTCGCCGGGAATCGAACCACGGACCTCTGGAATACCGGCCCAGCGTGCAGACCACTACACCACGAAGGCACGCTAGGAAAGTGGGAGAAATACCTTATAAGTTTGTTAATCAAAAATTCGTTAAAGTTTTACAAAGTATGAGAGAGATAATAAAATAAATTCGAATTCAAAATTTGGGCTTCTAAGTGCGCATGTTCGGGTGGAGGATTACGTTATTCAAAATTTGATGTCTCTAAGTACCGTCGTTTGTTCACACTGCAAGAAACATACGCACATTCATGCGGATTCTTCATTATTTAATTTCTTTAAATACAAATTCTTAATTCTTTAATACAGGGTTATAATATTTGATGGCAACAATTTAAAACATGATTTGCCGTTTATAGTGAAACGTCACAAAATGCCATTTTGTGACTAATAGCCCTTCTGAGATAACGTTCCTTTGGGCTAACAATAAGTGACTGAAAATAAAAAACAAAATAGCAACAAATGTAATTATTGTGCAAGTTGCAATAAATAAATAAATACATTAAAAGGAAGAAAACATTACAGTTGAACAAAAAATATGGAATAGTTAGTAAAAAAACAATTAAATTACTAAATCAACTAAAAATGCTAAAAATAGCAGACAGCTAGAAATATATACATATACAAAAAGCAAACTTTGTAAAAAAAAATGTATCGGAAAATTCCAGGAGTTTTAATGGCAAGTTGAAAGGCAAAATGTATACCAAAATTCGTTTTCTTTTCTCTAATATTCTCTAAATTTTGGAACAAAACTTACAAGCATTCCGTTAACATGCTAGCTAGGCAAGAATTGGTGGCTGTTTTAAAATAAAAGTGTTACTGAAAACAATCCAAAGAGAAATTGCAGTTTTGCTTATAAGTTTTTCTAATACTTTTTTATACCATTTGTATTATCTATTCATATTACTGAAAGGGATAATCATATTAAATTTTTTAATCAGTGCATTGGCTCAGATTCAGAAAAGGGATGACGTATGAAATATTCTCCCTCATATTTTATAGCCAGCTGCCAGTTAACGGAATATAAATTTCGCCTTAAATAAAACTAATTGGACATTTACTGAAATGAATCTTACTCCTGGTGGAAGAAAATTATGCTGTAATCTGGTTTATGTTTTCTTGGAACTTCTTCGACCCTGTAAGCCTTTCAACATTATGCTTTACGAGTACTATTTCTGACATTCATAACATGTTCTAAAGTTTATAGGCTTATAATAATATCTCAAAAACATTAAAAGGGTATCTGACGTTGAATAATTTTTCAGATTACCAAAGCGAGTTCCTTAACTAACTCATTCTAGTACAGCTTTTTGTTTTTTGGTGGTCTTGTATCATTCGTTATTGTAGGGATCATCATATTTCGGTACCTGAAGAGGAGACGTCGTCCAGGTACAAGTGACGCTTTGGATGAAAGCGAGACTGTTGGACTTCAAGAAACGAGTCCTGAGTCCGAATCTGAACTCGAACCTTAAGTAATTAGATAACACAAAAGCTACAGCAAAATGTACATATCCAAGTTGGCTAATAAATGTCATTAAGAACATTTTTATTATGGCTTTTAACTATTATTACTTAAGTAAGGAACCGATGTATGCATATGGATACATACACAATTTTGTTTATTAACTATTTTAAATTGCATAAAATGAAAAATAATACATTAGTTAGAGCATAATGTAATCAAATATAATATATTAATGATATTATAAAGTCTGGTGTTCTTTGGGAACATAAACTGCAGACTTTAAAAGACTCTAGAGGAATTATCTTCTGGTCTTGTGAATACAGGAACACAAAGTCAGATGAAGGGTGTATAAGAATTTTTTATTTGAACTCAAATAACAATGATCTAACTTGGGTTTATACAAGCAATCCTAAACTTAAAATACGTATTGTTGAATTAATATCAAATGACTAACGGCTCGCAGGATAAGGTAACGAGACGAAAGACTCTGGTTTCAGAAAGCCGGCGAGATAAACCGAATGGCTAGAAGCACTCAAACCACAGAATCGAATCGCTAATGAGTCACGGTACAACGTGGCTTGAAGTAGGCAAAATACGCTCTAAAAATAACTTGCTTAGCCTTCGCTTAAATGGCACTTCTTTCTCTCTCAATTTGAATAAGCATTCGTTATATGATTTACATTCTAGCATGAAAAGCGTGGGTGAAAAGAGTGTTACAGAAAAGTAACTGAAAATTAACTATTAACTATTATTTAAAGTAAATCGATAAAACATCACAATATCACCAAAAATTCAGTTCTTATTTAATACCTACTTCGTTTATAAATAATTTTCATTTTTGGTGTGGTATAAAATTAAAGTGCATATTTGATATTATTTCTGTATCATAATTCACAGCCTAAAAACATGTAATACCAAATCTTTGTTAATATTCACCAGACCAGAAAGATAGAAAGATTCAATTTCTATTCTTTCCCTCTCCCATAAATGATTATTAAAGCTGTAAGTTTTGCAGTTGTAGACAAACTAACCGTTTCTATTTGTTTTATACCACTAATTTTGGAGGTTTTTGTAAAATTATTATTGATTTGCGACCTGTCCGGTAAACCGCAGATCATCATCATCGAATCTGCACGGGCTTTTTAAGTCCAAAAGAGTGCGAATGAGTCCGAAGTCCGAAAGAGAAAAAAACGTTATCAGAATCTTTAAAAGAATCAACCCATCAGTCTTAGGATTCTGAGAAACCCGCTTGATGGAAATTTCCAGAATGTCGCCAGGTTGATAAAGCTCATGAACATAACAAATTTTATGATAAAAATTCTTCAGGGAAATCTGACAGACATCAACAACGTAACATCTGGTTCTTCATGAGTCATGTTTCCAATTCCAATATCTGCTTATTTGAAATTACAAGAAATGCAAAGTAATAAATGCATTAAGTGTTACATATGCATTATATCTTATATACGTAATGAGTAGTAACAAATTAAAAATTGCATAAAATGCAGAATAAATAAACATGCAATTACTATAAAAATATACTAAATAAATAAAGGAATAAAGAATAAATAACATTTATAAAAACAGGCAAATACCCTAAGGGTCTTAGTTTTGTTAAGTACAGGCAGTATAATCCCCACAACCAAAGGCAATAACCATCATTGTCATAATAAGGTGCAAATCTATCGAAGTGCACTGTTTTAATTTAGAAGTTCTTTGTCCGTCACATCATTCAGTGTTTTGATCACACAGAAAATCTCCTCTCAGGATGACATCAGCTTAAGAGAAATCTTTTAACAACTCTTGAAGTTAAGAGTTGACCCTTAACTCTTGGAGTTATAATTCTTAACTCCAAGAGTTAACTCCAGATTAACTGACTTAAATATATTAACAACTACATTCGACATCTGTCTTTTAGTTTCTCGGAGCACTGCCAACTTCGAACTTTTAACATTCTTGGAAAAAATATACGTAATGCGTACAGTGATGTTTCAACGTGAAACGTACGTTGCCATTTTCCAGAATTTCATGATGTTATTTTTGAACTCTCTAGAGGACCAATTTTCAGTCGGAAAATATAAAAATAACTAGCTGTTGCAAGTCATGGCGTTGTAGTGCCACTTAAAGGAAAGAAAATACTTGTGTTTTATTTCTGTCTATTGAAGTGCTTTTGAATGCACTATATTTATTTTCTATCTGGTGTACACATGAATAAATTGGAAAGTTTTCTGACACGTGAGCAGGCCAATCGAAACATTTCTTGGCGAGCATACGGAAGTACAATTCATGTTTCAGAATGACATCGTGCGGTGCAACAAATATCGTGAAAATGCGTGTGATGAAATAACACGCACGTTAATGCGTGAAAAATTAAATATTTCATGCTTTGCTTAACGATACACATTTTAAAATATTTTAATTTGGGCAGTGGCAGCACATTTCTCTTAAATAACCGAGCTTATTAATTTAATTCGAGACAAATAAACATAATTGCACTTTCTCGAGTGGCAACACAATTTTTTATATCGCCGAGTTTTCTGATTAAATTTGAAACATATATGTCTTACGCTTTTCAAAGCGGGAACTCAAAGCTTTTAAATCGCTTAGTTTTCAGTCAAAAGTTAGTTAAATTAGCGTAAAATATACGTGTACATATCTCATGGGCTGATTTTGGAAAAATCTTATGTAGACAGCGACCTTCCTCTTGTTTTGAAGGTCAAGTGTGGAAAGTTTCATAAAGATCGGAATTAAACTGTAGATTTGTATAAAAGTCAAACAAATATTCAGTTTATATATATAGATAAACAAATCGATACATAAAGAACCTTAATTTGTGTGCATTTATTCAGATATGGGTTTCATTCGTTCATATTTTGCTCATCAAATATGATTTGAAACACTTCTGTTTCCATTCAGTGTTTATTCACACTTTTACATTTCTTTCAAGAAGATATGTATTCATTTTATCAGCTGGAGCAAATTGAATAAGATTAAGGAAAGGGAAAAAATAAGGTTTGAAAAATAGACCAGAATTCAGCAGAGTTTATAAAAATCATCTTTTTGCAGGATGATGCTACAGGATCGCACTATGCAAACAATATCTGTTTCAGGTAATATACAACAAAATACAAACCAGAAAAATTGTATAAAATTTACAATAACTGCCATATTGGAGATTAATTTTTGATCTCCTTACTTATTTCTGTGACTGAGTGTATCTGAATCTTCGAGTTAAGGTAATCAATTTCAGCGTGGCAAAGCCCAAGGAGCTAAAGTAATGCTCTCATGGACTTTCTAAAAGAAACTGGCATATATTCATCTCCCATATGGGAAAATTCATGAAAAAAAATCCATGCAGCCAGCTCATTCGTGTGGGTTTAAATCCAAAACGAACTACCAGTATTCAACAACTTTTAACTACTCGGCCACTGGGGAAGCGTCTTCCAAGTAAAACGCTGATTTCAAAGACATATTTTGATATCTTAGAATACATTTGGAAATTCATAAAATTCAATGTTTTGTTAGGTTTATAGAGTCATTAGGTTACTTTGAAGCAGGAGACATGGAAAATGAGCAATGTCCTCGCCAGAACTCGAACCTGGACCTCTAGAATACGCGTCAACTGTGCTAACCGTTACACCATGAAGGCATGCTAGAAGGAGGGAGTGCTCCGGTTAGAAGCGAATCAAACAAGATCATAAGGTCTATTTTTAGACCAGGTGGATCGGGTCATATTTTTCTCATTTGAAACTTTATATACTCCCTCTTTTAAAGGACTAGGGATTAGGGGACACAGTCGCCAAATCCTGGTGGTGAAGAATCATCATCCACCATCTTTTATTTCGGGTGTGCCACTGCAGATTTATTATTTTTTTATGCTGGGGGGTGATGAAAAATGAGCAATGCCGTTGACGGGGCTCGAACCTGTCCCTCTAGAATTCGCGTCAAATGTATTAACCGTTACACCACGAAGGCATGCTGGAAGGTGGGAGAAAATAACTTTAATGAATTTATTTAAGTTTCTTTCAACAAACATGTCCGAATAATTTCACAAATCGACGGATTTTTTTTTTCTTCAGTGTGCTACTGAGATGAGATATGTTCCATCAAAATTTCATACTTGAAGATTTTAATTAATTAATCCCCTTTGCTGTGGGGCAGGTTCAAGGAATATTAACCAATAACTCAAATTTATCCTACTTGATAAAATTTGAGGTTGCGTATGCTATTTGTATCCCATCATCTCTCATTTAGAAGCATATGGCTCAATGAGCGGCCAGCTATTTGAACACGGGCAATCTATCCTTTCTTAAAAAACGGCTTCCTATTAATGAATGGATCCGCCTCCTTTCTGTAATAAAGCGATCAAGATGGTGAGCGCAAAAATAATCGAAATGCGTTTATCACGAACGCGGGGCTTGACTGTCATTACATTATGATGAGTCACGCAATTAGGCAAGGAAGATGCTTCTGCAGTAGAAACAACGCTGATTTATTTGGTATAAAGTTTTAAGCTTTTTTTTCTTTCTCTCATTTTCCGCTACTGTTGCGCCTTCTTTATTATTTTCGTGACGAGGCATAACAAAATGTCAGCTCCAGTGGCATCAGTTGGGGATAAGCCATGACGAACGATGTGAAAGCTTTTCCTTAAAAGCCTTTTTTTTTCTTTATTCTTTTGGTTTCTTATTCCAATGCGCGTTGAAGTTTATATTTGTTGTGAGATATTTAGAAGGATACTTTTTTTTTTTATTTTGTTTCCGTTTAACTCTGAATAAATTATACGAACTTCGTCCATTTTGCAAACTTGACATAAATCTAAATAATTTTGCATAAATTGTTCATAGTTCAGAAGATTAATTTAATTTATATTCGTTGAATAATAAGAAGTTTAGGCTTCCGTAACAGCAGTTTTCGCTATATTTTAAATTTTTTTCTTGTTTTACAAACGCAATCATTATTTACTTAGACAGCCTAAATTTAAGGAAGGCTTTCAATCTAAACTGAACTTTGAAATTTGGGGAATTAAAATATTTCATATTATAAACG